CTCTCTCTCTCCCTAAAATAAATAAATAAATCTTTTTTTATTTATTTTTTAAGATTTTATTTATTTATTTGACAGAGAGAGACACAGCGAGAGAGGGAACACAAGCAGGCGGAGTGGGAGGGGGAGAAGCAGGCTTCCTGCCGAGCAGGGAGCCCGATGTGGGGCTCGATAACAGGATCTTGGGATCATGACCTGAGCCGAAGGCGATGATTAACGACTGAGCCACCCAAGCGCCCCCGTGGTGAGAACTTATTAATGGGGAAACTATAATGTCCTGCGCTTAGGTTGTACTTTCGGTTTGTCTGAAGCTGTGTGGTCCCGCCTCTGCCTGTCTCTCTCTGCACCCACTGTGCATCTCCCTAAACACCAGACTTCTCTGTTCCTCTGGGGGCATGTCACCAAACAAGGCCATCATGGCATCCACATTAGGTAGCCACAGTTCACATGAGAGAAGTTTATAGTTTCCCTATTAGTAAGTTCTCACCACGGGGGCGCCTGGGTGGCTCATTCGCTGGGCGTCTGCCTTTGGCTCGGCTCAGGAATCCAGGGTCCTGGGATGGAGCCCAGCAGGCTTTTTTTTTTTTTTTTTTAAAGGTGGGGGGGGATGCCTGGGTGGCTCAGGCAGTTAAGCATCTGCCTTCGGCTCAGGTCATGATCCCAGGGTCCTGGGATTGAGTCCTGCATTGGGCTCCTTGCTCAGCAGGGAGCCTGCTTCTCCCTCTGCCTGCCTGTCTTCTGACAAATAAATAAATAACATCTTTAAAAAAGACAGGGGGGCATCCAGTTATCTTTGTTTAGATTCTCTACCAAAATGCAAAATGTGCACAACACAAACACAAACAGAATGGTGACTTGCATGTCCCTTTGTGTAGCTGATTTTGATCATTCCATCACATTTCAAACAGCTACACATCTTTTGAAATATAGAAAGTTAGAATACCCCATTCCCCTGCCTCCACCAACCTCCTCTAAATGGCTAGCCAATTGCTCTGAGACAATATTTTGAGTAATTTTTCTCCTTTGATTTTAAATGCTTTGGTCATTTGCTAAGTACTCACCTATCTTTGTGTTCAATACTTGACTCCATCGTGTTCCATTAATTTACCTGTCAGTTTCCTCCTCACTAGGGCCCTTGAATTATACAGTTTTACATCGCTGTTACTATTTCCTGTCTTCACGGGCTTGTTCGGGAACCGCCTTCCATTGGCTCCTGGATACACACTCCTTCCTCATTCTCCTCTCCTTCCCTGATGCCTCTTCGTCCCCTTGGTGTTGGATCCTTCAGAGATCCACCCTCAGGCCCCCTCCATGTCACTATACCCTCTCCCTGGACAGATCCCCTCCCTGCCTCCACTCTTGCCCCTTCCATCCGCTTTCCACGGAGCAGCCAGAGTGATTTTACTAAAGTGCAAATGAGGTCATGCCACGACTCTGCTTACAGATCCACCTATTGCTCTCAGGATAAATTCCTGACTCCTTAACAGCAGGCAGCCACAGAAGGTTTAAATAGACTGAGTTTTCCCAAAGTGGACCCTGAGACAGGATTCAGGGGCAAGTAGTTAATTTGGGAGGTGAGGCCAGGAAGGGCAGTGGGCAAGTGAGACAGGGAGGGAATGCAGCCAATACAGGAAGCACTGAAGAACAGGTCACTGCTGTAGGCATCTGGGACTCAGTCCCACTAGGGACCTCTGGTCACAGACCGCCGGACTGCCTCAGCGTTGTCCCACCTGAGAGCAGAGGATTTAACCTGAGTCTCCCAGCCTAGCAGCCTCTATTCTCTGAGAGTCGCACTTCCTCCTCCCTCTCCTTATTTTCTTTCCTTCCTTCCCCTTCCCTCCACCCTTAGCCCTCCTCCTCCACCCCCTTCACCCTCTTCTACACCCCTCCTCCCCAATAGGCCCCCGAAGCCGTGTTTCTTCTGTGACCCCGCCCACAGCCTTAGGTGATTGGACCAGAGATAGATAGCTAGACCAATCAGATTCACTCTTCTGGGACTCTGGAGTTAAGTAGTTGGGTCTGTGGTCTCATGTGAACTGTAGCCACCTAATGCGGATGCCATGATGGCCTTGTTTGGTTACATGCCCCCAGAGGAACAGAGAAGTCTGGTGTTTAGGGAGATGCACAGTGGGTGCAGAGAGAGACAGGCAGAGGCGGGACCACACAGCTTCAGACAAACCGAAAGTACAACCTAAGCGCAGGACACTATAGTTTCCCTATTAATAAGTTCTCACCACGGGGGCTCCTGGGTGGCTCAGTCGTTGGGCGTCTGCCTTTGGCTAGGGTCCGAAATCCAGGGTCCTGGGATTGAGCCCCGCATGGCGCCCCGCATCAGGCTCCCTGCTCAGCGGGGAGCCTGCTTCTCCCCCTCCCACTCCGCCTGCTTGTGTTCCTGCTCTCGCTGTGTCTCTCTCTGTCAGATAAATAAAATCTTTTAAAAAAAAAGTTCTCACCACGTTTCCTGCACTTGAGTTTTGTGAGACAACAGTGTTTCCTCAAAAAACTACCTTTTCTGCTAAAGAAAGTCACTTGATTTTTCTGACCTGTAACCAGAAACACACACCCTTGAGAAGATAAATTCACCCAAGCGGCCAAGCCCCATTCCATTCGTGACTTGACTTCCTACTTTACAAAGAAACAGAAACCACCATTCTTGACATTCCACTTTGAACATCTTTGAATGGCTCGAATATTTCCATCTTAGCCACCCCTTCCCACAATTTTCCCTTGACTACACTTCCTGTTAAAAACCACCCTTACCCTCAAGCTGAGTTTAAAGTAGTCCACATTCGTGTCTCTACTCTCTCCCTCGAATCAGTGCCTACATGCACTATTATTTTGCACGGAAGTGTGCCATTCTGAAGATGTGATTCTAAGTGTCTATGGGATTTTTAGGTCTGGAGGTTCATAGACTGTACGGGTTTGGAGCTCAGAAGGCAGATTTGGTCTGGAGATAATAGATTTTTAAAATCTATCCGTGATTTTTAAAAAAGTAATGCATGAGTACGGTAGAAAAACTTCACAGAAAGGTGATAAATAAGTCGCCTGACAAACACTGACAAATCCCCCAGTTCCCTCCCCAGAGACCATCTTATATATCCTTCAGACACAGCCAGCTTCACCGACATGGGACCTGTGCAGTACATAAGGACCCACACATAGAAGGGACCTGAGCTTGATTTAATGCTCTGCTATTGCCATCTTGAAATTCTTAATCTTGAATACGGCACCCCACATTTTCATTTTGCACTGGGCCCCCAAATTATGTAGTAGGCCTATTTCCAGCTATATTCCATGCATAAACACATGATATACACATGTACCCCTCTTTCCATCCCTTTTTCTTTTAGCATTTGGTGATTCTTAAAAGAATGTGTGTGGGTGAAATTTCCCAGGGAGAAGATGCAGAAGTTATTAGTGCTATTCACCAAATATGTCTGCTTCTTCTGTTTCTGGGCACAGAGGGGGATATATGGTGAACTGCATTTCCTGGTTCCCTGGTAGTTAGATGGGGCCAAGTGACTAGTGTTGACAAATGAGTTAGGGGCTAAAGGAAGTGCATCATTTCTAGGTCAGAGTATTTTTTTTTTAAGATTTATTTTTTTTTAAGATTTTATTTATTTATTTGGCACACACAGAGAGAGAGCGAGAGCAGGAACACAAGCAGGGGGAGCAGGAGAAGCAGGCTTCCAGCCTAGCAGGGAGCCCAATGCGGGCTCATCACTAAATATGGCAACTGAGAACTCAGTCGTAAGCTTATTAAGAACAGTATCCATAAAGTGGTGGTAGGAGAAATAGTAGACAGAGGGCTGAGGAAGCATAGGGAAGGGCATGAGGGATCAGTGTATGCGTTCAACAGAAAGATAGGAGCCCTGCCATGTGCACTTATGAGAAGGGCCAAGAAAATTTAATCTCATCTTCCTTCTGCACTCCAGTGTCCTGAACCAAGAGCCAGGAGGTAAGGTACTCTAAAATCATAGGTTATCAGAAAATTTGCTACTGGAAAATGCATCAGTAAGAATGAAATATTCCACTTTTGCCTGGAGGATCTAAGTCACCTTGCCACAGAGAAGCAGCCTCAATTTGCATCTTTGGTGCAGAGCTTCAGATAAAAGGTTTCTAGACACAACCTTCAACACCTGTCTTAGCTTTATTACTTTCAAGGAAGCAGAGCCCTGGGTCCACTTGGCAATCCAGATCTGAGATTGACCGTTTTATACAAACCTGCTTTGTTTTGAGCCTATCAAAATCTGCTTTCATTCAAATCTAATCTAGACTCCACCATCACTCATAATCCTATGATAATTCTGTCCCTTTGATGATGGTGGTAGCTTCTCTGGCATGAGCTCTTTCTCACTGAAGGAGTCAGTAAGCCTCATTTTGCTAAATGGCAAGTTTGTTTCCGACAGTCTTAGGCTGCTTGGGCTAGGTCACGGGCATAACTCTGGGGGCAGGGCAGAGAGCGGATCTCAATGGATCTCAAGGGTCACGCAGGAAATTATCCAGCATAGAAATAAAGTCTCCTCCCCTCCCAGCCCCAGCAATTCTGATTCCCCCTACCGTCTACAGACCAGAGTGCTGTGGAGGAAGTGTGGAGAGGGAGAAGAGGGAGACCTTCATTCACCCGGCGTTCACAGACATCTGGGGCTGAACAAAGTGTTGTAGAAATGAATCAGTCAGCCTCTGAGTGGGCCTCGAGGCAATAGGAAGATCTAGGCCCTTTATTAAGGCACAATGGAAGCACTGGGTCTCCTGACATTTGAAGGGCCGCCCCTTTCCCCCAACTGAAAGGAGTCCAAAAAAGTCAAAGGAAAAAGGGAATAAGGGAGAATGCCAAAAATGCCCTTCCTTGGAACACCATCTTTGTGCAGGCGTCTGGGGGAGGCCGACTGGAGCAGGGTCATCTGCCAGCCAGGCCTGTAGGACCTCCCTTCTCTTGTTTAACTCCAGCCCCATCCGGGTTAGCTGCCAGGGCCCGCCCCCACTCTGCCCTCACTGGAGGAACTCAAACATAAAGCCTCCTGCTAAGAATCCGTTTCATTTGGCTTTCACTGGTGGACCTGCTGTGGTTGGTCTGGGAGGGTTGAGCCCTGGTCGAGACCCTAACGGAGAGTGAGCCTCTCACCATGTCAGCCTGTTGCAGCTGGAAAGATGTTTTCCAGTATGAGACAAACAAAGTCCTCCAGATCCAGAGCGTGTATTACGGCCCCATTAAGTGGTTCTTCCACCTGCTGGTCCTTTCTTACATCAGGTAAGTGGGGCGTGGGGAGGACCCCAAATGTCTGCAGTAGTTGACGGCACAAAAATCCCCAAGGTACAGCTTCTGGTGCTTATCCTGAATTCCACGTGGTTTTAAATCTGAGACTTTTTTTCTCATAGCAAGTTGGGGCTGGAGGTGCCGGGGCGGGGGTGGGGGGCGTGTTGGGGAGGATGCAGCTGCAGGCGGGGTTGGGGGGGGGGGGGAAACAGTGCTAGTCTGCTGCGGAAAGAAGCCACAAGAGGCAAAGCGACACTTTGGGTTCTACCCCAGGCCTGCCAGGGTGAGCTGGGCAGGGCATGCCTGGGGAAACCAGGAAACAGGGCAACACCCTGGATTCCGTGGGAGAAGGCAAGGATTCAGAGCACACCTCGTGATAATCCTGGCATCTGTCTGAGTCATCACCGCTTAGGGGGGGACCAGGATCAGACTCGTCAAGGTAACTAGGTCCTCTCTAGTGTCAGGAAGGCCCCCTCTTGCTCTTTTTCATTTTTGTTTCTTAACAGCTTATTGAGATATAATTCACACACTATACAACTCACTCATTTAAAGTGTACAATTTAGGGGCGCCCGGATGGCGCAGTCGGTTAAGCATCCAACTCTTGATTTTGGCTCAGGCCGTGATCTCAGGGTCTTGGGATTAAGCTCCGTGTCAGCTCCGTGCTCAGCGCGGAATCTGCTTGAGATGCTCCCTCTCCCTCTCCCTCTGCCCCTCCCCCTGCTCGCGAGCGCACTCTCTCAAACAAATAAACAAATCTTTAAAAAAATAAAATGTACAATTTAGTGGGTTTTAGTATTCAGAGTTGTGGTGCAACTGTCACCACAATCAATTCTAGAACATTTCATCACCTCAAAAAGAAACTCCACAGCCCTAAGCCATCACTCCCAATCCTTCCCAACCCCCATAGCTCTGGGGACCAGTGGGTTTACTCTCTGTCTCTGGGATTTGTCTATTCTGGACATGTCACAGAAATGGAATCATGCACTATGTGGTCCTTTGGGGCTGGTTTCTTCCACTCTGCATCATGTTTGCAAGGTGCATCCATGTTGAAACATGTATCTCTACTTCATTCCTCTGTATGGCCAAGTAATATTCCATTGTCGGGATAGACCTTTTTTTTTGGGAGGGGGTGGACATTTGGGTTGTTTCCAGTTTGGGGCTATTATGGATAATGGATAATGCTGCTATGAATATGGGTGTATGCGTGTTTGCATGAACATGTTTGCAGTCTTCTTGGGTATTGTACCTACAAGTGAAACTGAAAGATCATTCAGTAACTTTATTTTTGACATTTTAAGGAATGACCCATTTTCGGGCATCACAATTCCAAGGTAACAGGTGACGTGATTTCCTGGTATTCTTGGCACACAATTTCTTAAAAGCAGATTCTTATATATAAGAACAGATTATTATGACAGTACCTTGTAATGATAAATATTTTTCTCTCATATGGTGGAATCTTATCTTGCATGCATTTAACTCCCTCAAATCCAGTAATGCATGTTCCATGGGAGCCTGGAGAGAGCACAATTTCAACAGGGCAATGACCGAGCAAATGTGTGCCCCAGACCAGGCATGAGATGGGGTACCTAAGTTGGGGATCCTTGCCAGTCTGTTCCCACATGCTTTCGATGGAGTGACCACCTTACCACCCTACCTGTGAATCTAGATACATACTCTCCACCCTACATGCCCCCTAAAATAAACCACCTCTTTCATCTTCACCCGGAGCAAAACTGGAAAAACAGCAACTTGTTCCAGAACTGGAGGAAAAAAATAGGCTCTGATGGACTTGTTGGAAGGTAGAAGGTCTGTTTGCTGCGCCTTGTGGACAACTGAAGGTTTTACCAAAGGCGGTGTTGACAAGACATGATTTTTTTACCTGAAGCACTGACTTTAGAAGGTAACCCCTATGTAAAATGCTAGTCCATTTTTTTTTATATTTTAAAAGATAAAATTGAAGAAAAACTATTGCCAGCTTTGTTTTTTCCCTCTGTGTTAATGGAATATCTATTTACAACCCACTGAATGGAGTCCCAAAGACCACAGCTTGGGAAATGCTGCCTTAAGTTGTACTGTGAGGCCTCAAGTTGATAAAACTGCAACTTGGCCATTTGTAAAAAGGGTAGACCCATGGTGCACAGGGATTAGGGGTGGTAGTTTGCCCCAAATAGGACTGGTGTGGACCACAGGTTGGAAGTCCAGACAGGCTCAGGTAATATTCAAGATATGTAGCAGCAGGTGGTGGGTTCTAGCCATGGAGTCCTCAGTTCAGAGCCTGTCCATACTAGGGTTGCAAAGGCAAAGAGCCAGGATAATGAAGTAAGACAGGGCTCCAGTTATTGAGACTGGGGTACAAAGAAGGGGCTGTCAATAGAAGAAATAAGACAAGAGGCTGGTTAGCTTCTCATAGTCCCTCAAAGTTCAGAGAGGACTCAAAGGCAGGGGCTGCAGCTATAGGCAGGGTCAAGTGGCTCCAGCTTCCAGGGTTACAGGATGCTGAATAGGCCTGTGCTATTTGGATAGTAAGTGTGTGTTTGGACAGTAAGTGACAGAGACCTAACTCAAGTTAGGCACCAAGCCACACAGTGGAAGAGATGGAGCTGCCCTCAGACAAGGATGGTTATAAAAGCCCAAACTATGTCATTGGGTTGGGTCTCTCTCCCCCACATCGTGGCTCTATTTGGCTTTGTTCTTGAATAGGTTCTCTATGTAGCAAGATGCCACACTCATATCGTAACTCCAGAGGAACAGGCAAGTCTTTCCTGATAGCTGTGGCATGAAAGTCCCAGGGAAGTCTCTGGTTGGTAGAGCTTGGACTACATATCCACTCCTGAACCAATCCTCGTGGCTGAGGGCATGGTGTTCCCTGATTGGCCAATCCTGAGTCATGTGCTCACTCCTGTGGCAGGAAGTAGGGACAGGGTGCAGGGCTCAAGGAGCCCAGTCTGAACCATATCCAGTGACTTTACCTTAGGAAAGAAGAATAATGTTGCCAGAAGAAATAGGAAAAGAAAGGGGGGGTGGGGCAAAGGAAAAACATCCATTACAGGGTCTTTCCAAAAGCCAGACATTCCAGAGACTTCTGAAGTCTACTGCTCTATCCTTGGCTTGTTTCAGCCCTGCACCTGGGCTGTGGAGACTCTGTCCCAGGTTATTGCCAGGGCAGGGCCCTTGGTATTCTCAACAGAGATTTCCTCTGAGAATCAGCTCCTGAATTCCACAGGGCTTTCCGATCCATGATTATGTTTTGTCCCCTGGCCTCAATGAGGTGGGAAGAATGGGATAATGATGATTATACTCCCAGGAAAACTAACTGAAAAAACCTGAATGACAATAAAAATAACTTCCTTATACAGTTGGCTTTATTTATGTCATCTCAATTGATATGCTGGGATATAAGGATTCTTTTCATTATTGCACAGATAAGGAAAGAAAAGCTATGAAAGATGGAGTTAATTTCTAAAAGATCATCCAGGTAGAAAGTGTGTTTTAAAAAGGATTCAAATCCAAAACCAATCCAATGCTCTTAACCCAGAAAGCACACTACTGAAGGGTAACTGGGCAGACTGTGAAAGTCTGAGTACTAGGCCTCCTCAATCCCTGGCCAATCAATCCTTCTTCCTTCTTCACCACGAACTTTGTCTTTCTGCATTGGCCTGGGCAAGTGCAGGACAGGGAGGGAGGCTGGAATGAGGATCCCATAAGCTTACCCTTTTCTATTGTTCATTCATTCCCCCAAATAAATTTTAGACTATCTACTATAAGTCAGGCACTATTCATGGCTCTAGAGATTATAACAGTGAGTGAAACAAAGTTCCTACAACTCATGGGGTTATATGCCAGTGGAGGAGAGAGATATGATACAAAAAAAGCAAAGAAAGACATAATAAAATATCTGATGGTGATAAATGCTATGAAGAGTAATAAAGCAGAGAACAGAGAATGATAATGGGCAAATATGAGTGCGTGTGGGATAGAGACATTTGGGCTGAGCTCTGCATGAAGGGAGGGAACAAGACATGAAGTATCTAGGAGAAGAGTATTTCTGGTGGAGGGAACAGCAAGTACAAAGGCCCTGAGGTAGAGCCTTGATAGGGCACTCAAGGAAAAGCAAGGTCAGTTTGGCTGGAGCAGAGGAAACAAGTCAGTGAATGAGAGGAAGGGCATGAACCGGAGAGATAACACTGGTAGGGGAGAAAGGGCAGATCATTCAGGGCCTTGGAGGCCACTCTGAGTTCTCTGGATTTTATTCTGAGTGAGTTGAGAAGCCGTAGGAGGATTTTAAGCAGAGAAGTAAGAGATATTTTCATTCTCTTGGGAAGATTTCCCTCCTCCTTGGAGACCAGCCCTCTCAGAAGATTGTCCAGTGAGTACAGAAGAGTAGGGAAGATTGGGAGAAAAACAGGAGAACAGACTCCACTCAAACTGCTTCTCCCTTAGCCAGTCAACCTCTGCTCAGGCCAGCAGAAAGCACCATGAGGATGGTGCTGTTGTGCTGGTTTGTGGCTGTTAAATGTAGTTCCTGGCTGGCTGCCTGTTTCATGGGAGGGTTGCCACACACCTTCCTGTGAGGTTGGGCCTTTTCCAACTGAGTGGAAGTGAGTCCACCACAGAGATGGGAGGGGACGCCAGAGGCCGGGGAGGGGCAAGTCCAACCCAGGCATGCCCCCCCCCCATGTGGTGCCTGCCACTTGAGGGCAACAGAAACATGAAGAGATTTGCCACATTCTCACCCTACCCTGAACTCCTGGGTGATGTGATAGAGATGGGGGGCTCCAGAGAAAACCCACTTCAGGAGGAGACCGCCTCTAGGAAGAGGAGAATCCAGCCACCTGATTCAAGGGACCAAAAGAACAGCGAATGCACATATCTGAAAGCAAAAAAGAGGAGCAGCCCACAGGACAGCATATTCCAGAAGCTGGTGAGAGAGGAGGGAGGAGCAGGGGCCAAGGGCAGAGAGGTAGGCAAGGGCCAGACCACGGGAAGAGTT